TGACAGCTTACACATTCAAAAAAATGTGATTTACCCCTAACACTAAAAAATAAGGGGAAATGAAGAACCAGATTAAACCAGGACAACCCTATGAAAATAGCTACTATAAGGAATCCATAGCCAGGTGGTGGTTCAAGCCTTTATTCCCAGCACTTGGGAGGCAGAAACAGGATCTTTGGGAGTTCGAGGTCAGCTTGGTCTACAGAGCGAGTTCAGTACAGCCAGGACTGTTTCACAGAGGAACCCTGTCTCAACAGACAAAGACAGAGAGAAAGAATGAGAATGATTTCATTTTAAAGCCAATTTCAATTTCAAGAGGCAGGTTGAAATTCGAAGTGAATGTCTTTGTGATCTAAAATAAAGAGAAAGGGGAATATAGGAACATTTATCCACACATACTAAGGGAATATTTAGTTTCAAAATTTCAAATGAAGCCGGGCAGTGGTGGTGCACGCCTTTAATCCCAGCACTCAGGAGACAGAGGCAGGCAGATCTCTGTGAGTTCAAGGCTGGTCTGGACCGATAGCCTCCAAAACAATACAGAGAAACCCTGTCTCGTAAAACCAAAAAAATTTTTTTCAAATGAATTTTTTTAATGAAAGATACTACTTTTTCTGTTGCCCAAAATCATTTTGCCCTTGAATAGCTATAACCTGCAAAAAAAAAAAAAAAAAAAAAAGGAACCCCTCCAGAGTTAGAGTCAGGACATGGTTTTGCTTTTCTTTTTCCAGGAGAAAAGCCTCCAACTAAGGAATCCAGAGACCACTGGAAAAGTGAAACATCTGAAGAGAAAGGACAGATCATCAAGAGAAAATATCCCAAGAAAAAGAGTAAAATGGCCAAGTAGTATCACCCACCTCCAGCTAACTGGCCTGAAATCCTGGCTGGCAGCACCAGACTAGCTAGCACTGGCACCGATTTTACCATCTAGCTTGGGCCGCTAACTCTTCCCACCAGACAACCATCCAGGGCCAGGGCAGAACAGCCCAGGAAGACACTATTTTCTTCCCACCATGTGGCTGGTCCACCCAAGGCAGTTTCAAATGCTTGTCACTGCTGCCCTCTACAGACATGAGTGGCAAATGGTCTTATGTGGTTCCAATTCATTTAAAAATTAAAGATGAACCAGAAAAAAAAAACCGGGCGTTGGTGGTACATGCCTTTGATCCCAGCACCCGGAGGCAGAGGCAGGCGGATCTCTTTGAGACCAGCCTGGTCTACATAGTTCCAGGACAGGCTCCAAAGCCATAAACCCTGTCTCAAAAAACAAACAAAAAGTAAAAAAATAAATAAATAAATAAAGTTGGTGGGGCCTGGAGATGGTTGCTCTTCCACAAGACTGGCTGAATTCCCAGCAACCACATGGTGACTCACAACATCTACAATGAGATCTGGCTTTGGGGTGGAAGCGTTGGTCTCTCCTATTGTTAAAGTAAAATCATCTCTGTCTCCTGTCACCTGATATGGGACAGAAGAAAACAAAAAATAAGGGACTATTCCATTGTGACTAATCTTATCATAATCTTTGTTTTCATTTGACTCTCTAAAACTTCTTAAGGTATAAATATTATCTCAAAATCTGTGATAGTAGTAATCATAGAGTGTACTAAATAATTCTAGAAATATGCTTCATCTAGATTCCTGTATGTGTTTTCCGGTTTGAGTCTGAAGCAGTTAACTAGGATCTAAGTTTGTGTGTCTCAGATGTACTTAATAGATATATATGGTGTTCAGGGGGCTGGAGAGAAGGCTCAGAAGTTAAGAGCACTGGCTACTCCTCCAGAGGTTCTGAGTTTAATTCCGAGCAACCACATGGTGGTTCACAACCATCTGTAATGAGATCTGGTGCCCTCTTCTAGTGTGCAAGCATACATGCAGGCAAAACACTGTATACATAATAAATCTTTAAAAAAAAAATGTGGTCTTCAAACCTTATGGAGAACTGCTGAATATGACATTCTATTTATTTGTTTTTTCAGGGCAGGGTTTCTGTGCAGCTTTTAACCTGTCCTGGAACTCTGTAGACTGGCCTCAAACACAGAGATCCGCTTGCCTCTGCCTCCCAAGTGCTGGGATTAAGAGTACACACTACCACCTTGCAAATAGGCATTTTAAATGTTTAAATTTTCTACAATATACTGTGACCATTCCTAACAGTAACCTTTGAGATTTCCAAGAAGATGATGGGGCCCTGTAACAACTAACCCTAACCCTAACCCTTGATTGTGGTAAGGTGGGAAAACTGTTCCATGCCTCTTCTGCTGCCAGATTCTTCGCAAACAATGGACACTGTTGGGTTGACTGCTGTGTCCTACCTTGCCAGGACTGCCAGCAAGATGACAAACACCATCCCTAAGATCAGCTTTAGACTACAAACTGCAGAGGACTTTCAAATCGCTGAGATCATGAGACTGACACGAACATTTTACAAAACTTTGAAATCAAAAATACTTAAATCGGGGTGGGGCACGCCTTTAATCCCAGCACTTGGGAGGCAGAGGCAGGTAGATTTCAGAATTTAAGGACAGCATGGTCTACAGAGCTGGTTCCAGGACAAGTTGTTAGAGCTACATAGATAAAATCTTGAGGCCGGGCGTTGGTGGCGCACGTCTTTAATCCCAGCACTCGGGAGGCAGAGGCAGGCGGATCTCTGTGAGTTCAAGGACAGCCTGTTCTACAGAGTGAGTTCTTAGGACAGCCTCCAAAACAATACTGAGAAACCCTGTCTCAGGGGAAAAAAATCATTCCTCTAGAACAAGGAAAGTAACAAGGGTCAAAAGGGTTTGAGGCACTTTGAGACCAGCCTGAACTTCAGTGGATACAGAGAGAATAGAGAGAAGCCCAGAGAGAACTTTTGGCCAGATGTGGTGACTTTGATCCCAGCACTCAATAAGCAGAGACAGATTTCCAAAAGAGTTAAGAGGCCACAGAAGCTACCCAGCAGGACCTTGTCCAAAGAAAGATTCTTCTAACTCACATCTACACCTTACACCTGTAACAGATCCTGACCATACCTGGACGCCTTCTCCATACAGCAAATTGCGGGTGGAGATGGGGTGGGGCGTATCATCCCCTCCATACAGCAAATTGCTGGGGAGAGGGGGGATGATACGCCCCACCCCATCTCCACCTGCTCCATTGGAGGACACAGACACTGGACCTGGTGTGGTAGTGTATAAATAATCCCAGCCCTCAGAAGGTTGAGGCAGAAGGATTTCAAGTTTAAGGTCACTGGGATACACAGTGAGACACTACTGGGTGGTGGTGCACATGCCTTTAATCCCAGCATTCAGGATTTAGGGGCAGGCAATTTCTGATTCAAGGCCAGCAAGGTCTACGAACAAAACGTCTTGTAAGACGCTGAGACCAGAAGAATTTGAGCAAAATAAGGAATAGCAGTTTATTTAACAGTCTTGAAAACTGTACAAAAAGTACAAAGGAACTTTTGCTTACAGGTAACAATCAGCACTTTTCAGCTCGAAGCAGAGACTGATACAGCACCCAATGCTGCCAAGGCCGGCCTGGCACTAATCACCAGCCTCCAATCTAGACTACAGACTTCCAGTCAATACCCAGAGCCTGCAAAGCCCATTCATAAACCCCAGTGACCAAAAGCAAAGACCCTCAGGTCTACTGGACACCTGCCAGTGGCCTTTCTCTTTTGGGGCTGTGAAGGAGGCTCTGGTTCCCCACACGTCATTCACATTTTGGGTGACTGCAGTAGCTACCCCAGGAGGTCACACTCAAAAGAACAGTGGAATAATGCCAGTCAATCCACAAAATCCATAAAAACCTGAGGGAAAGACACTGGGGAAGTCAAACATGAGCCCTAACTTTCAACGGCACCTCTCCTTTTCCTGCGGATACATCACCATACTAAGCATTTTAAACAGAACTGAACTTTGAACCATAAAGATACAGTCAAAATACTAGAATCCCAACAGCGAAGCGTATCACCGATACTGAGAGGCCTCTTTGCTGGTCCACCACGTGTCGGAAGCAGCAACTTACCAACAATTTTACTAAGAGATGGCTTACTCTTCTCCAGTTTGGATCCGTATGGGAGAATCGAACAGAACGTTATACACTCCAAACAGTGTATCCGAATTGTGAATAACCTACGGTCAATTCCCATCACTCAGCTACTTTAATAAAAGAAAATTTAAAGCACACATCTTCGAAGGATTTCAAGCATGTCAATCCAGCAGATCAGAGTTCCCAACACCACATCATCGTTTTGGGGACTGGAGGCAGAGCCTAAACAACTTGGGAAACACCATCAATGAAAGTCACCTGATCTGAAAAACGGAAACTCAAACGGTCCTAACTTTGGGTCTCCATCTGGAGGAAACCTACAGATTCGGGCTTTAAGGACCCGCTGAATCTAGAAATGCTTCCCCGCAACGATCATCTAGGGAGAGGACCGTGCTCGGGACAAAGGAGAGATGTTTCCCGCGTTGGGAACTGGGGTGAACCGGGCATGCTCCTGGAAGCCAGGGATGTAGCTTAACAAAGAGAGAAAGCTGGTGAAGGACGGAGATCGTCTCTTCTTCGCCCGCCGGGAAGCCCGGGATGTGAGGGGGTGTGTGCTCCAACACGTGCGCGCCTGCGCAGGGCCGAAGCAACAGACAAAAGCCGGGCCTAGGGTAAAGTAAGCGGCCCGGGAAGGGGGACCAGTGCTTGCGCACCCCCCGACAGCGGCGCCCAGGCCCCGGCCGAGGGGGCCACCAAGGGGGAGGATGGATGCGCGCGCACAGGGGCACTGCCGCCGCCATTTTGTTTCCTCCGCACAATGGGGGAGAGTAACGGCCAAGCGCGGGAGCGAGGCCGGAGGAGAAGGAAGGAGCTACACGCTGAGGGGTGGGAGATCCGAGCCGGGAGGACCGGCAGGGTGGCGAACGCCCTGTCACTAGCGTCCCCTCGGCTCGGCGTGCGCTGACAAGTGGGAGAACGGACGAGGGGGGAGGGGTGGAGGCGGGAGACGCCACATTGCCGCTTACCTTGTCGGCGTTCCGGTCCCTCGACCTCAGCCGCCGCCGCCCTCCTGCCACCAGCCTTGCGGAGTCTTCACAACCCCCCCTCAAAAAAAGCCACGCGGTTTTCGCCGGGGCTGCTCCAGTCCCAACTGCAATGGCGAGAAGAGGAGGAGGAGCCGGGGGCCGGGGGCGAGCGGAGGGCGGGCGCGCGCCCGGGAGGTGCGGGACCACGTGACTGGCAGGGCCCCGCCCCCGCGTCACGTGGGCGGCCGAGCGCGGCCCAGCCCTCCGTGGGTGGGTGGGACGAAACGTGCTCGAGGGGGCGGGGTCCGCTCCAGAGTGCGTGACGTGAGTGCTGGGCCTCTGTGCTCACGGGTTTGCCGAGTCACATGACAGCGGCGGGCCTCCGCTTTTGTCAGGTGACAGGAGTTTTTTTGTTGTTGTTGTTTCTCGTCTCGTTTTCTCTATTGGTAGACCTGAATCACCTGACGCGACTCATATGTTTTGTTTCTTCTTTTTCCGATGGCGGTTTTTCGGAGCGACCGTTGTCACGTGATGCAACGGAGCAGGGGCGGGGGCCTGCTGACCGCGCCGGCTCGCGTGCGCATGCGCCGTGCTGCTCTGGCCGGCCTCAGTACGTTGCCGGAAACCAGACTGGAAGACCGGCACGTGCGCACGGTTTTCACGCTGGTGCGGGTCTCAGCCGCAGCCGGACGCCGGTGGGTTGAGACTCCATCTCGCCGGCCCCCATTTTTGTAGTGAGCGGGTTTGCTATGATGCCCGGGGCGATCGTGGTGAACGCGACGCTTCTGCCTCCACTCTAACGTAGCTGGGTTACAGACAAGGCCGTGGCACCAAGCTGCTGAGGTTTTTAATAGATTCCCTCGGTGCTGAGTGCTTGCTTACACTGACCCCAGTGACACACACAAAAAAGGCAGACTCCAGACAAGATACGAAAAAAGAAAGGTCTCAAACACCCAGCTCCCCTCCCTCTTCGTATCCGTTGTGTATCTGCAGGAATTTATAGCCGTCACACCAATAAATAATAGTTAACACAAGTTGGTATTTGTATTTTAACTCGCTAAACAGATTTTAGATAAGTATCTCATCCACAATCTGAAATTGGAGAAAAATTTGTAAATGAATCAATTTGTAAGTCGTTTGCGATCTCAACCAGACGAGCCTAAGATGCTTCTGACGCAGGGAACAAGGTCTGTCTAAAAATGACAAACCTGTTCTGACAGCGCCACCAAGTGACGAACATGGTTAATAAGGTTTTCCTGAGGTCTGTTTGCAGACGGATTTTTTTTTTTAATGTGTATGAGTGTTCTGACTGCATATATGTCTGTGCATCACGTGTGTGGTGCCTAGGAGGTCAGAAGAGGGTTTGAATCAAATGAAACTGGAGTTAACATGATTGTGAGCCTTCATGTGGGTACTGGGAATCGAACTTGGGAAGCAAGTGTTTTTAACTTCTGAGCCACCTTCCCAGCCTCTGTGGACAGGTATTATTGTATTATTACTATTTCTCAGTCTTTCTCAGTGCCTGTGTCTCTGTGTGTGTCTGTCACTGTGTGTGTGTGTGTGTGTGTGTGTAGCCATGCAATGTATAAAGAGTGGACTATCTCCTTCCACCTTTACATGGGAGCCTGAGATTGGACTCAGGCTGCTTGTCTGCGTGCATGTGAAAAGTTAAGCATGATAGTGCACACCTGTGAACCCAGGGCTGCAGAAGCGGAGGCATGAGTCCTTGGGGATCCTTGACCAGCCTACCTAGCTGAGTTAGCAAACTCCAGGGTTATTGAGACAGAGCAGGGAATGATAAGGACACCAGACAGACATGGACCTCTGACCTCCAAGTGCACAACGGAACCTGTGAACCCTCGTACACCATACAAAAATAACCAGTCTCAAAAACAGTGCACTCCACCTGTGAGCAGCTCAGTACAGGGCACCGACCATGGTCATAAGCTGCTCCATTCACTCTCCCTGTGCTGCTCATTCATTTGGTCACCATAAATGCTGATAAAATTAAGTGCCAGCCGGGCGTTGGTGGCGCACGCGTTTAATCCCAGCACTCGGGAGGCAGAGGCAGGCGGATCTCTGTGAGTTCGAGACCAGCCTGGACTACCAAGTGAGTTCCAGGACAGCCTCCAAAGCCACAGAGAAACCCTGTCTCGAAAAACCAAAAAAAAAAAAAAAAATTAAGTGCCATTTGCCACCCTTTTTTTCTCTTCTTGTCTCTTGGATGCTTCCCCTACCCCGCCCTGAGACAGGGTTTCTCTGTGTGACAGCCATAACTGTCCTGGCTCCAAGTTCACAGAGATCCTCCTGCCTCTGCCTCCCAAGTGCTAGGATCAAAGGCGAGCACCACCAAAGCCCAGCTAGAGGAGTGATTCTTTCTTTTTATATTTTATTTATTCTATTTTATGTGTGTCTGGGTTACACCACATGCACACAGGAGGCAGAAGAGGTGTCGGATCAATAAAGTTACAGATGGTTGTGAGCTGCCATGTGCCTGCTGGGCGTCTCACCACTGAATCCTCTCAAGGCCCCTCCCTCTTCTTTCTTTCAAGACCTGCCTCTTTATTACCCAGTCTAACCTCCAACTCCTAGGCTAAAGGATGAGAGCCAGTCTGCCTGGCTTTGAAAGGAAAGCTAATGCTGAGTGTTGTACTAAAGCATTCTTTTTACACTGCACTGGTCTATTTACCGGGGAGGGCATGTGTGTGGAGGGTGGAGCACGACTTCTGGGAGTCCTCCCATTCTACCACGTGGATGCAGGGGATCAAATTCAAAGTCCTCAGGCTTGGGAGCAAGCACCTCTACCCAGTGAGTCACCTCACCAGCCCCTGAAACACAGCTTCTCCTCCAGGCTAGCCTTGAGCTCGGATCAGAAGAGACAGCCCACTCCTCTGCCTCTGGGATGCTAGAGTGAAAAGCCTTTGTCAACACATCCAGTTTGGACCACAACTTTTGTTTTCAGAGACCTGGTTTCTTTTTTTTTTTTTCTCGAGACAGGGTTTCTCTGTGGCTTTGGAGGCTGTCCTGGAACTCACTTTGTAGACCAAGCTGGCCTCAAACTCACAGAGATCCGCCTGCCTCTGCCTCCCGAGTGCTGGGATTAAAGGCCTGCGCCACCAACGCCTGGCGAGACCTGGTTTCTCTGTGTAGTTTTTAAATCAGGCTGACCTCAAAGAGTTCGGTCTGCCTCTGCCTCCCAAGTCGCTGGGATTAAAGGCATACGCCATCATCACCCAGCTGTTCCACAACTTTTAAAATTGAAGAGGGGCTGGAGAAAGGGACGACTCAGCAGTTAAGAGCACCTGTTACTCTTGCAGAGGACCTACATTTGGTTCCTTATTAGTCCATGGGTGTCTGGAGAAATTCTTACTGGGGAGCTTTACCTGCCCGTCCTTTGTATAAGCCCATATTAAAATACCTTTCATGCTGGGCGGTGGTGGTGCATGCCTTTAATCCCAGCACTCGGGAGGCAGAGGCAGGAGGATCTCAAACAAAACAAAACATATCATTAACAGGAACTGATCCTAAATTTGGTTCCCAACACCCATACCAGTAAGTTCACAACTGCCTGTAACTCCAGCTCTCTTCTGGGCTCTGTGGGTACCCACAAACAAATACACATACATAGATTAATAAGAATAAAGGAAATTTAGCTGGGCGTTGGTGGCGCACGCCTTTAATCCCAGCACTCGGGAGGCAGAGGCAGGCGGATCTCTGTGAGTTCAAGGCCAGCCTGGTCTACAGAATGAGTTCCAGGACAGCCTCCAAAGCCACAGAGAAACCTTGTCTCGAAAAAAAAAAAAAAAGAATAAAGGAAACTTGCCGGGCAGTGGTGGTGCACGCCTTTAATCCCAGCACTCGGGAGGCAGAGGCAGGCGCATCTCTGTGAGTTCGAGGCCGGGCTGGACCGATAGCCTCTGAAACAATACAGAGAAACCCTGTCTCGTAAAAAAAAAAAAGAATAAAGGAAACTTAAATACATCTTTAGCTGGCTGTACACATTCAAGCCTTAATCTCAGCACTCAGGAGGCAAAGGTGTGCAAATCTCTAAATTCAAGGTCAGTCAGGGCTACAGTTCCTAAATGGCGGCTTACGGTGCTCTGCAATGCCAGTTCCTAAATGGCGGCTTACGGTGCTCTGCAATGCCAGTTCCTAAATGGCGGCTTACGGTGCTCTGCAATGCCAGTTCCTAAATGGCGGCTTACGGTGCTCTGTAATGCCAGTTCCTAAATGGCGGCTTACGGTGCTCTGCAATGCCAGTTCCTAAATGGCGGCTTACGGTGCTCTGTAATGCCAGTTCCTAAATGGCGGCTTACGGTGCTCTGCAATGCCAGTTCCTAAATGGCGGCTTACGGTGCTCTGTAATGCCAGTTCCAGGGTATGGAGCACCCTCTTCCAACTTCCTCGGGCACCAGGCATGCATCCAGTACACACACCTGCAGGTGATGTAGAAAAAGGTAGAAAAGACCACATATTAGACACTGGCTTAGTGACCTATTCAGTGATTGACTTAAAGTACTGCTTGTACTGCCTATTTGCCAAACATGACTTCACATGCTATCTGGGACAGAATGGCCTGGAGAAATGATAGCCGGAACAATAGGTTGTTGCCTTTAACAACCTGCTGTCACATAGGTTTATTATCTCCCTTTCTTGCCTGCCCCACCTTGTGGTCCCAGAGTATAAAAAATGAGAGAATGCACACTGGCCCCAGGCCTGAAGCCTCTCAGAGGACCCTGGCTTTGGTCCTCCGATGACGTCTCTTCTCTGCCACTCTCATCGGTGTTGGAGTACTTAGTCCAGAAAGATTCCCACAACATTTCTAGAGCCCTCAACAAGAGCTCCTTCACCAGACCAAACTGGTAAAAGAGACTGATGCCCCTGTGCCTCTCAGCACTCTGAAAGTCTTTGGAACTGGGAAGAGTGCACCACAACAGGATTCTGGGGTCCCCTTCCAGTGTCCAAAGGAACTGTGAGAACCAGAGGATGAAATTTGTCCCAGGTTGCTGCTCTGCAGGCTTCAATTTTCAGCATCACAAGGAAGGTATGCACCATGGCAAGACCTCCTGATCCTGTCCATTCAGCGTCATCCACCCTGACACTGAGGAAAATGCATACTCCCCACTCATCCAAGAAGACATAGCAACATTACTAGGACTTAAATCCAACCACACGCTTGCCTGAAGAGAAAGGAGA